TGTGTGTGTGCATGTGAGCGGGGGGGGGGGGGGGGGGGGAAGAGGGAGGGAGAAAGAGAGAGAATCTCAAGCAGACTCCCTGCTGAGTGCAGAGCCCAACTCGGGGCTGATCACATGACCCTGAGATCATGACCTGAGCCAAAATCAAGAGTCAGACACTCAGCCGACTGAGCCACCCAGGTGCCCCGGAAAGAAGAGCTTAGACCAGAGAATTCGTGAAGCAAGGCTCTGGGGACAGCAGGGAGCCAGCTGTCCCTGCTGCCACCTGAGTCCATGTTGTGTTCATTGACCCTGTCCTAACCAGCAGGAGCCAGGAGCTTCTCTGCAAACACCCAAACTGCTCATAACCGGAAATGATCAACCAGTAGCAAAGGTCATGCATAACCTGCAGTAGACAGTAATGCCAGCCCCTCGCTCAGGACTAGCGTTGGAGGTTTATTCCTGATAATCCAGGTACCTCACCCTCCCATGCTGCCATACATGTTGTGTTGGACAGGAAGAGAAGGACTCTAGTCCACCAGCCATGCTGTATTCTGTAATATCCTCACTGAGAATAGTAGTTATTCGGGGGGATTGACAATTTCCCGATTTAGAAATACCTTGTCATTTTCACAGTCCTGCTATGTCCAGTGTGGTGGGGCTAGAGTTGAGGGTGGTCATGTGCCAGGTCTGCTGGCGCACTTTTTCTCAAGATCGACACTAATATGAGGACACACAAAAGATTAACATCCAGCCCAAATGACTTATCAATAACAATTTCCACATAAAAATATAAAAGGCATTCTTACAGTATACATTTTTAAATAAAAGTGCCTTTTTGTTGTATTTCTTTGTGACATCTGTTAACCTCTACCTAGCATTCTGTGGGACATATTTGCACCCGAGGTGACGAATCCCCAAACTCTGTCATCCACAGGGTACCAATAACAACGATGAGAGTCCCTACCATTTTCACTTGCAGGCTAATTGACTATACGCGGAAAGTAAGTACATATAAATAGTGTGAGCTGAGTTCAGAAGTAGTGACACGTACAGGTGGCCACGAGCAGTGGTCCCAGACCAAGCATGTAATGTTTGGGACTGGACCTTGGGAAGTGGCATTTAGGAAGAGACAGGCAGTAAGAACCACAGCAGAGAGGAACAGTCAAGGACAGGCGTGTCCAGGCGACGCTGAACCTGCCTCTTTGGATGGACCTGTGCTCATATAGAGGAGTGGTGGGAGAAATAACTAGAAAGATGGAATAAGATGGAATAATTTCTGTGGCTACCAGCTATAGCCAGAAAGACTGCAGAAGGCTTCAATGGGAAGCAGAGGAGGCTGAACTTTATCCAGCAATCGGAGGGTGCCACTGGAGATGGGAAGTAACGTGATGAAAGCCACATGCTGAGACTTTTACAAGGAATCCACTGAAAATGTAGCACTTGAAAGTGGAATTGAATATGAGGGAAACTGGAAATAGGGTGATTGGCCATCCAGTCTTGTAAATTGCTTTTTATTGTCAGATAAAATTCATTTCAAAAAGAACTACATTCCTCTTGGATATATATGTCCCATGTTGAATTCAATCAAGAAGCAAAGTAGAACAATTACTGTTATAAGGGCGTAGGAGGTAGGAAGTAAGATGGCACAGTAAACCCTCACTATTTGTAACTTCTGGATCCCAAAATGTATATATTTCACCAAAGCGTATAGTTTTTCCCATAAACTGCATATGACTTCATTTGAGAATCTGCAGCAATAAGTTGAAAGTAATAAAGTTGGGGGGCTCCTGGCTGGCTCATCGGTAGAGCATGCAGCTCTTGGTCTCGGGGTTGTGAGTTCGAGCCCCACGCTGGGTGTAGGGATGACTTAAAACAAAATCTTTCAAATAGAAAGAAAGGAAGTAACAAGTTAAACATAACATGTAGAGAACAGGTAGTCAGCTGTGCTCAGTGCCAAGCGACCCTAACACACCTGCTTGGAGCAGCACAAGCTGGCCCTTTTGTGCCTCTACAAGTTAAACGTAACATGTAGTGAACAGGTAGTCAGCTGTGCTCAGTGCCAAGCAACCCTAATGCACCTGCTTGGAGCAGCACAAGCTGGCCCTTTTGTGCCTCTACAAAATTACATCTGAATTCTTGCCAGGTCCTTTTAAAGTCATTTTTGTTTTTGTTTTTGTTTTTGCTTTTTTGGAGAACTACCTGTTCTCCAAAATGGATTTCAAATCAGCCTGATTCTTTGCCACTAGACTCACAATGACACCCGAATAGCCCTCTCCTCACAAAGGAAGAGAACTTTCTCTGACCTTCTAGTAGCATCTCTTCACTGACTCCACCCCATCTCCTAAGAGTGAGAACCCCACACACACACACACACACACAGTTACTCCTTTCAGGAGTCCTGCGGCCACCCCAAACGCTTCCTGTATCTCTGATATAGATTGGAGTTTAGCTATAAACACTCCAGTTAAAGCCATAGCTCACCTCCCCGGGCTCCGGGCCCTACAAATGCTTCTTTCCACTACTTCCTCTCTACACCTCCTCTCATGTGGGAAACCTATTGGAAAGCTCTTCGGGACTGCCCCGTTATAGAAGAGGCTGGCAGAACCAGCTCAGAGTGACCTTAGTTATAAGAACAGGAAGAGGAGACTTCCCATAGGTCACAGGTGGCCGCTTTTCTGTGTTCCGAGACCTAAGTCAGTCAGTTACTTGGAATTAAGATGCATATTGTCATGATATCTCAGCATATCATAATTGACATCTAGGTAAGTGAGCCCTAATGAAACGTCACAGTTAATGACTACTTCCAGAACTTAGAAATTTCTAAATCAAATTCAGCCTTAACCATGTTCTTCCCGTGCTGCTTTTCTCTAACCCAGTATTGAAAAGGGACTGTTTATTTTAAAAATTAAAAAGCTATAGGGCAGGCTCCTTATCTTATGTTTTCCATGATTCCTGTTACCGTAAGCATAAACAGAATCAGGCATATGTATAATAAAGTAACACCCATCCATCCTAGATTCTATAGATAGTCCCTAAGAAAGAAAAGAAACATAGTTGGCTCCTGTACAAATCACTAACAAGACAGAAACTGACTCACTATCTTGGTTACTTATTTTGTAACCAATATATAATCCTGAAAGCCAGCCCAGTGGGGTAACCCGGCCAGAGCTTTTCAGTGTCCTAGTTGATTCTCAGCTCCTTAAGAGAAGGGGACGCTCTGGGGGCGCCTGGGCGGTTCAGTTGTTAAGCGTCTGCCTTCGGCTCAGGTCATGATCCCAGGGTCCTGGGATCGAGCCCCGCATAGGCTTCCCTGCTCAGCCAGGAGCCTGCTTCTCCCTCTCCCGCTTCCCCTGCTTCTGTTCCCTCTCTAGCTGTCTCTCTCTGTGTGTCAAATATATAAATAAATAAAATCGTAAAAAAAAGAAAAGGAGACCCTCCAGTGGTGCAGGCGTTCCCAGCCCCCGCCCCCCCTGCCCCGAGCCAGCCTAATAATCCTCTCTCTCTCCCTTATCCAAACCCATGTCCTCCCAGATTTTCTTTCTGTAGTCATCCACTACCTCTTTTTTAAAAACTCAAAAGGGAAAAGCCTACAGCTATTGGAGAAGAGAATCTGCTGCTCAAAATACTTCGTTTCAGCCTAAAGAGCTTTTCCAAATGAAAAACGATCACCAGTGGGTCCCAGTAACCAGAGCTGCGGGTCCTCTGGGTGGGAGCAATGATCCTCTGTGCTAGGAAGAAATGTAACAGATGAGACTTTTTAAATTGCTTCCATTTCACTTAGAACTGAGGTTTGCGTGGTCATGTGACTTTTTGTAACATCTGTTTTTTTCTGGGAAGCCAGTTAGAGGCCCAGTGTGCCATGTAGGTGGTAGAGGATGCAATGTCACGTGAACCTATTTTATTTGGTCTTAAGCAAACCCAATACCAAAGCTAATGGAAGCTTGCTGTTTCATTGTCCTCGTTACCCCCAGAGCTGCGGGGACAGAAAGAAATTGAAAGCAAAGGTGAAAAAATTGTTGGGAACACGGCCTAAAAGCAGGCAAGGACCTTTCTGACGAAGTCGGAATTGGCTGTTTTTACCTGTGTGGCTTAGGGTAGACTAGCAGAACCAGGTATAAACTGCCCCCTGCTGCCTGACACAGAGAAGTACATTTAAAAATGTCCGCTTCATTAAAAAGAATCCTATTCTCGAATGCCTCTGTGAATGGAACAGAAAAGGGGGGGTGTGGGGGGGCAACAGCCCGCAGACTCGTGCAAGCCATGGACCTCACAGCTCACCTAATCCTCTCCCAGGTGAAGCTGAAGGAAGTTAGAGGCAGCCCTCGTGAAAAGTGCTATTTGGGGTTTGGAAGTCCGCCTCACTACCCCATCTGCAGCCTTGTTCCAGCAGCATCCGTGACACCCGGGAGCTAGTTAGAAATTCAGGTTCCTGGGCCCCGCCCTAGGTCCGCTGAGTCAGAGTCTGCCCATTGAGATCCCCGGTGATTCACATGCACACTTAGGAGTGAGAAGCCCTGCACATAACTTCAGAAGGAGCCTCCACCCTGGAGAAGAGCCTCCAGTCCCAAAGGTTTGGATCACACTGAATTCAGTTTGAACAGGGGATAAACAACAACACAATAGAAGAGTTTGATCCTCTATTAAGATCATAATTGCCTTACGTCCTTATTTTCTTAATACTTCCGTTTTATACAGCCCACACATCACTGGCCCTTGAACTCGCTGTCGTTCACGTTACTGGCCACGGTTCAGTGGCAACTGGCGTTTGCCAAGCAGTCCCCTTGAAAATCGGTCTGTCCCGCCAAGTTCGTGACAGGCGTGGATTTGATCTTGGGCAGCACCTGTGTTTATCATCCTCCTTATGTGCTGCGGTCTTCTCGCTCCGCCCCCCCCCCCCCCCCACCCCCACCCCCACCCCCCTACCCCCCGCCTTATGCCCCTGCCGTTACTGTTTTAAGAGTAGCAACTTGACCCACTGTCAGTCTGTTGCTAACCCGGAGTGTTCTTTTCTGCGCCAGGTCAGGGAAGAGTGCCGGCTCCTGAACGCCCCTCCTGTTCCACCCCGAAGCGCAAAGCCTTTGTCCACAAGCCCCTCGGTCCCTCCTCGTACGGCCAAGCCAGCGCGGCAGCAGACTCGCTCTCCCAGCCCCACCCTGTCCTACTATTCGTCAGGGCTGCACGACATGTAAGTCTTAACGCCAGGGCACGCGCCTTCTTGTCGGCCAGCTCGCCGGTTCTTGAGAACAGTGCCAAGGGTAGCTGTAGCCTGGGCAGGAGGTGGGAGAGGACATGTTCTTTAAACACAAAAGAATTTCACTGGAAAAGCATGACGGGGCCCCTGTTGGTTTAAAGCGAGGATGGAAGAACCAGTGTCCTAGGAAGGAAAGAAACCACAGTAGAGGTGAGAAACTCCGCAATAAGGGCCGACTGGATTCTCTTTAAAGCAAGCCACGGAGTGCCACCAGCTCTCAAAAACCAGGCTCTCGTTCTTTGCACTCCCACTTCTGCACAAGCAGACAGACGACAGCACCTTCAACCGGGACCTAGAGCTGAAAGGGTCCTGTTGGCTCTGTTCTGCCTTTCCACCCAGTACGGGAATCCCTTCTTGACCACTGCAGTCTGGTAGCCATTCGCTTCTGTCTGGATCTTTCCAGTGCTGTGAGCTCCTCCTTTTGCACTGCAGCTCATTCCATCGCTGGCAAATGCCAGTGATTTTTTGGTAATCTTTCCCTGTATCCAGTTGAAATCTATCTCCACGTAAGTTTCAACTGTTTCTTACCTCTGGGGGGGGAAAGGAAAAAAAGATCGTCCCTGCTTCTCTTTGTCAGCCTGTGAACAATTTGAAGTCAGCTAAGATGTAGGTCTTCTCTTCTCCAAAGAGATCGTCTCAGTTCCTCCAGCTATTTCCCCTGGCATCGCAGCCTGGTCCCTCATTAGCCTGGTCACCCTACTTCTGAGCACACCCTGGCTTCCCTGTCACTCTTAAAATATGGCCCCCGAGTTGAAGGCACTGCTCCATGTCTGGTCTTCACCATGTAAAATAGCTCTCTTTTGCAGTTATTTTTTGTTCTCTGGACGTTGAAATCCTTATGCTAGTTTTACTCAGTTGAATAGAAGCCAAGGCAAGCATTGTGTTTGACGCATTTCTTCTCACCTCAGACTTTGGGATGGAAATAGAGTCATAGGTGCTGGTGCTGTAGTCTTGTCACATGGCCCAAGGATGACAGGCACGAGGCCCCCATTTGCAGCTCTCGAGCCACCCTGACCCCCTGCAGACATTACTCGTCATTCACACGACCTACTGGTGATAAGCCTAAACATGGCTTAAGAATTTTTCTCATCGTGGGGCGCCTGGGTGGCTCAGTCATTAACCGGCTGCCTTTGGCTCAGGTCATGATCACAGGGCCCTGGGATCGAGCCCCGTATCGGGATCTCTGCTCGGCGGGAAGCCTGCTTCTCCCTCTCCCACTCCCCCTGCTTGTGTTCCCTCTCTTACTGTGTCTCTCTCTGTCAAATAAATAAATAAAGTCTTAAAAAAAAAATTTTTTTTTCTCATTGTAAAGATCCAGGCACCCACTCACAGTGATTTTCTTGTTAGTTAAATTAAATATATATATATATGTATTTGCCACCTCTACTATAACCTTTTAAATCATTATAATTCATATCTCTGTAATTATCAATGAATTTTAGTAACTTAAAGACTTTTTTTAAAACCCAGTGACGTTAGCAGGTACTTTATCGGATTCATGATAAGAAGTACTGTATTTTTCTTCCTAGCTGTCCTTTTCTACTCACAAGTGACATCTGGGGGATAAGGGTCAGCTCGATATTTGGCTTCTACTTTTGACTCCCCTCCCTTTCTGTGTTTGCTCTTAAGCAGCGTTCCTAAAAGCGACACAAGTCCTTCCGAAAGTGCGCCTGTGTCCTGCTACCCCTGCAACCGCATGAAAACTGATTCTGTGGACCTCAAGTCCCCGATGGGAAGTCCCTCTGCTGACACACTCTCCTCCAGGCTCTCATGGCCCAACCATTATTCGGGAGCGTCGGAGAGCCAGACCAGGAGCGACTTCCTGCTGGGTCCCAGCAGGAGCTACAGTTACCCCAGACAGAAGATGCCAGGCACACCAAAGAGAAACTGCCCAGCACCCTTTGATTTGGACGACCACGAGCTTTCGGCCAGTCCCCCTGGCTCCGTCACTTCAGAATTCAGCGGCAGCGTCTCTGCCTGCCCCAAGTCGGCCAGCTACTCTGTGGAGAGCACAGATGAGAAAACTCTGGCTGCTGACACAACCAAGCAGAGTATTTCATGCCCTGCCTTACCCCCCAGGGCTCCAAAACCAGTGGAAGAGAAAGCTGCCTCGGACACTTCTCCTTTGCCTCTGAAAATTGATGGTGCTGAGGAAGACCCCGAGTCTGGGTCACCGGACCTCTCTGAAGACCAGTACTTTGTTAAAAAGGGCATGCAGGACATCTTCTCCGTCACCTACCCTTTCTCATCTCCGCTCCACCTCCAGCTGGCCCCCAGGTCCTGCGGTGATGGCTCCCCGTGGCAGCCGCCCGCTGACCTGTCAGGACTCTCTATAGAAGAAGTGTCCAAGTCGTTACGGTTTATTGGTTTGTCTGAAGATGTCATATCATTCTTCGTTACTGAAAAGATCGATGGGAATTTGCTCGTTCAGCTGACGGAAGAAATCCTCTCCGAGGATTTCAAATTGAGCAAACTGCAGGTGAAGAAAATAATGCAATTCATTAATGGCTGGAGGCCCAAAATATAGCCAAATAACCCCAGCTAGCATTGAACAAAATGGACAAATGTGTGTGCCAGAAGGGGTGGGCTGGGACACAATTCCATGTTTTTTGCACTAAAAACCTTCTCTGTAAATAGGGATAAGAGAAACTCTTACTATGCAGATTACGTTTTTGAATGGTGAACAGGCTATTTTGTACATCAATAAAAATGCCGTACAGAACACTTAGAGGTGTGCCTTGTACATCACTCAGCAGCTGCTCAAAGACAAAAGGCATGTTCAGAGAATTAATTCTCACCCAAGTAGGTTTATGCGAGAAGGTATGATATTTATTACAAAATAGCCAAAGCTGAAAACCGTAAGAATCAAAAAAACAAAAAAACAAAAAAAAAAACAAAAAAAGAACTTAAAAAAAAAAACACTTTTTGAACAACAGTTCTCTCCTTTGGGGGAATCGACTTTAGACAATTAACTATTCTGTGCTCTGTCGTTTGGATTGCTCAATGCTAATTGTTTTACTCTTGTGCCTGAAAATGTTAGTGATATGAAATGACACTTTACTGTTTGTTATATGCTTGGTGGGGATCTTTTCATCAAAAGGCATTTTCCAAAAGTCACGTGTTGATAGAGGATGTATGAAATAATACAAATCATGACCACAATAATTTATCTGTAACTGCTGCTAGTTTTATTGAGCAGTGGGAAAAAAAACCCAGAATATATACATGTTTGATACACAATACAAACATGTTTTAAACATCATTATTAGTCTCATATTTTAGATAACATCTGTTCACTTTCAAAGATCCATTGAGGTTTGGGGCCGTTAACTAAGTTGACGCTCTTAGGAAGAGTGGACAGAATGATTCCAAAGATTCTCAGAACCCTTCCCCTCGAAGCTCAGTCTGACTCGGCTTCATCACTGAAAGCTCGGAAGAAATCAGTAGAGGGTCTGTATTAAAGAATTAAATTTGATTGTAAGCCCATGGGCGGTGGTTTGCATGTAATACTTGCATGCCAATGTCTGGGAAAATGGTAGTTTCTTGTCAGAGGGTAATTCATCTCCAGTTGGAGGGTCTTCTTTTTTCCCCGGTGTCTAACAGCAAGAGGCCTGAGGAGCATTTCTCAGAGTGTGTTAGGTGTTCTCCACACGCTTGTGCTTCAGGAGAGCTCAAAAATCAGACTGACGACCTTCATCTTTTGAGTAATTTTTATAAAGTATCAGTAAGTACGCTTGTTTCGTTCATAAGCCTCTTCTTTCCTCTCGTCCAAAGAAAATACATTATTACCATACTTTTATTCCAAGAATTCCAGGACATTATTCTGACAGTTCTTGACAGATGTAATTAAAAATTCCAAAATATGGCCTCATCATCATTGTTGACTTTTTGAAGGAATGTAAATCTTAGAAAAGTTCTAGTTCCCTGAGCAAGCCACCAGCCCTAGCCCTGCCTCCCCCACTAGTCTGATTCTGGTCGTGCAGACGTCTGTGACTGAGGTCAGCCCACCAGGCGTCAGTAGGACTTGCAGGGTCAGCTTCTATCTTTTTAACCACTCTTCCTGCTCACCATAACACCTAAACAAAGGGAAAGACAAGACCCACGATAACGCAACATGCAATATGCAATATGGCTTTATTTCTTGACATTAAAGATATTCTTAATCCATCTCCTGTTTTAGAATTGAGGTGAATTGAACCTCTTCTCATTTTCCATCCTAAATCTTTTTTTTTTAAGGCATTTTTTTTTCTCCCTTCACACATCTCCCAAAATGTAAATACTCTTGGTAAAATGCATCCCATAAGGAAAACTGGAGCGCCCCTTCAGAAGTAATTGAAAAATCTATACGGAAGTTTCCGGTCCTACCCTCACCTGACATGAGACCCCTCAGTGACTTTTATGTTTAAAAAAACATCCTTCTGTGTGAGCAACTACTTCCATGGCAACATTAACCTCTCAGCACTTCCTTTTAAAATAAAAACAGAGAGGTTGCAGTTGAAACGCTGCACGTTTTTCTCTAGCAAATCCTTGCTGAGTCTGCTTTTAAGCACCTGACCCTTGGACACAATTCTCAGATTCCGGCGGGAGGAACAGAGTGGGTTTGGGTTTACTATGAAGGCTGCCCCACATAAACAGCTGGCACCTTGTATGTTTCTCTTTTTGTGTTTTCTTTTGCAAAAACTTGATACAAATAGTTTCTGGTTTTTGTCCTGGCATGTGTACATCGTTTGTATTGGTGGTAATATAGAGACTACTTGGGGGCAGGCGCTATGGCCTTTGGGTCCTCTATTCAAATTTGTTGAGCACCGTTTATTGCCAGGCACTATGCTGGTATGACTCGACAGTGCTGAAAAAAAAAAAAAAAAGCCCTCTTGGAGCTCATGATGTTTATATTTAAAATCACAGTTGCTGAGACTGCAAATGTGTGAGTAAGAGAGACGGGAAATCTTCTGGGCAGTTGGATGTATGGAGAGTTAAGTGTGTTCTGTCTTTAAAGAATCACAGATGGAAGAAATGGCAGGCTTTATTAAAGGGGTAAGAAAATCAACGCCACTTGATCATGAAAACTTAGAATATGTCGGAGGCTGACAGTGTCTCGGACTCCCACTGGCTAATGTTCTCTTTTACCGATTAGGAATGTTTTTAACTGTGATAACTATCTCCTGGCATCTCCAAAGGCACAGATACATGTAGTTGCCATTCCTGAGCTGAACACTTTGTAGAGGACCTTGGCACCCTGACTAGACAAGGCATGTATAGGCAGAAAGGATCACAGCAAGAGACGCAGCGCAGGGATGGGGAGGAACTGGCCTTTCCCTGCTGAGAGCTGCAGTTTCGCAGTGAGAAGTGATGTTCTAGAGATCCCCAGAAGCAGAACTTTTGCTAACCCAACCAGGTCAAGACAGCATATCTGGCAGGTTCCCTGCAGTCAATGCGGTGACCGTGGGGCTTGGGGGAAAGTGTCTGTCTAAACAGGACCCTCCTTGGGGTTTAAATTCATGGCCCCCATCAGAAAAGAAAATCAGCAATAAGCCAAACCAAGCAGCTAAAGTGTAGAATATGGACCTAACTCATGCTGGAAGGGAGAACTCACACACTCCCAGACCGATTCTTAGAATCTTGTAAATGCCAGCCCATTTCTCCTTGAAGTTGAGCTGCTCAACTTTATGAACTGTGAAATTTACATTTATACTCTTTCAACCCACATATACCATTCAAGTTTATGAAGTTTCAGCAAGCTGCCCATTCGACTAAATTGATACGTTTATTCTTGTCTCATGTAGAAATAAAACAATCTGATGGGAAACTGTTATGACAATCCATTCCAACTGTTTTCAGACACATGCATAAACACCCTCTGCTCACATTCCAGAACCACCTGCACACCATCCATACAGCTCCTTGAGAAGTTCAGGGGGTGGATGTGGATGGATAGAGGGTCCTTCATTTTCCAAACACTGTGTAACAAGTCACTACTTATCATGCCTAAAGAGCATGAAATTAACATTTTGAATAACAAACTGGAAAACAAAACCATTCTCCAAAGTACCTCGTGAACCATTCAAAGGAAATTTCAACGTCAGTCCCCCAGAAAAGTTAAATCTGCTGTTGGACACACGAGACTTTCAGGAACTATGACCATTCTATCAATTCCCACTCTTTATCTAGTAATATAAAGGCAATGGGCTGCTAGGGCAAAAAGAGTAAAATGCCCAGAATGCAAATGATAGAAAGTAGGATTTTTTATGCTGTGGGGTTGTAATATTGTGGAATTCTCATGGCCCCTTCTTGTCAAGTCACATTGCAGTTTAGTCTTTAAAACTTGTTTTAAGGGCGCCTGGGTGGCTCAGTTGGTTAAGCGACTGCCTTCGGCTCAGGTCATGATCCTGGAGTCCCAGGATCGAGTCCCGCATCGGGCTCCCTGCTCGGCGGGGAGTCTGCTTCTCCCTCTGACCCTCTTCCCTCTCGTGCTCTCTATCTCTCATTCTCTCTCTCTCAAATAAATAAATAAAATCTTTAAAAAAAAAACCTTGTTTTAAAATTGATCTCATTGTGAAAACCAGAAACAAGGGGTAAACGTGATATCAGTTAAAACTATGTACAAATATCTTCTGTAATTTTGCTGCTCTGTCTAATTTTTAGGCTATGAATTTTGTAATGAGCTTATCAGATTATAAATTTCCTTTGTTTACAATCTCATGTAGTCGGGCTCAGATCATTTCTTAGCTATCAACCTCTTCTCCCATTTTCATATTAAGTTCCATTTAAAATAATTGTTTAAGCTAAGCCTAAAAATTGAACTCAATTAATTAAAAACTGGGGGAGTTTTCCTTGATTTAAATGGAAAGGGTATATTCTTAAGAATTTTGTAACTGTCTTTATAGGTTCTTCGCTTGGAAAACCGGGGGTGTTAACTACCAGTTACCAGTTGTGTTACTTTCCAGAGCATTATCTAATGGGCCCAATGTGTACCTCAAGATAAACATGGTATGTTCTGTCTAAAAAAATTCATTGTTGATTTAAATGGTTCCGAAATGTCTATAAATAAAGAAAATTTAAAAGTTGATCCTCTTGCAGTTCGAATCATCTTCTATTTAAGCCTTCAACCTGCTGTCCTGTTTCACAGGGATAAAGCTTATGACTAAATCCATAGGTGGCCACTTCCCTGGGTTTTGGGGATATGCACTGGAAGACCATGTAGTGTTGAACCTGTAGGATGGGGTTGGCTAAAGCATGCAAGGATCTATCTCAAGGTCCTAGGAGTACTTACATCAAACGGACACTAGGACATATGATTCCCCCAAACTGAAAATTGCAAAGTAAATTTGAGTTTATTAATAAGGTGGGTTAGAGTCAAATATCTTGAGGTTAGAAAAAGCCAAATCATTGAAAAGAATGATTAAGCACTGGATAAATTCTTGTTTCACTGCAATGAATTTTCCCAGTCCCTTCTTGCTTAGCTGAGTCATACACTTCCTTCTGGATTTACCAGTACCATTCCCCAAAGCCAGTTAGGTTGCCCTCTGTGCTGGCCTAGCTTCCTATCCCTTTGTAAGCTATAAGCTCTTCCTATCAGGGCTTATGTCTCCATTGTTGTGTCTTCAAAGTAGATGCTATTTGGGGTTCTATTGAATGACAGCATGAATAACATCACATTCCTGCTGGTGGCCAGGCTTTGTGCCATCAAGATCAAGATAACAATAAAGTTTAAAAAAATGACACAAATGAAACGTATTTATCATTAAGACTTCTGAGTAGACTTTTTTAAAAGATGGCAAGATATGAAGTTGTTCAGAGGTCCCAGATCGTTTGCATCATTTGCCAATGAATTCATTTTCTAACAGTTTAATTAAGCCAATGACTTCAGTTCTTTAATGGATATGATTTGCCAATGAATTCATTCTCTTCTAACAGTTTAATTAAGCCAATGACTTCAATTCTTTAATGGATGTAAAACAAACTAAAAAAGAT